GTCTTATTGCATTAGCTAGGACTTATAGTATAATGCTGAAAAGCAGTGGTGAGATGGGACACCTTTGTCTTATTACTTATCTCAATGGGAAAACTTCGAGATTCTCACCATTAAGTAAATATGACGTTAGCTATATGTGTGGTGTGTTTTTGGTTTTTGTTTTTGTTTTGTTTGTTTGTTTTAGATTTAAAAACTCAAGTTGAGGAAGTTCCTCTCTATTTCTGGTTTACTGAGAGTTTTTGTCATGAGTAGTGTTGGATTTTCTCAAATGCTTTTTCTGTGTTTATTGACATAATCATGTCATTTTCTTCTTTAGCCTGTTGAAATGATGGATTTTAACTGATTTTTTTTTAATATTGAACCGGTATTGCTTGTCTGGGATAAATTCCACATGGTAGTTGTAGTGGGTTGAATGCCCCCCTAAACTCATTGAAGTTTGAATTGTGTCCACCAAGATTTATGTATTAGAAACTTGATCCCCATTGTGACTGTTGTGAGGGTGGGAAATCCTATTTTGGTAATTGAAAGGAATTGCCTTGAAGAGGTGATTAAATTCTAGGACCATGCCATGGTGAAGGGATTAATAATGGTGGTCAGGAGTGTGGTTCTGAGGGCTTTAAAAGAAGAGCTCATGAAAAGTTAGTCTCTCTCCGCTCTGCCATTTTCTGCCATGTGAGACCCGTGGGTCACTGTTGCCACCACCAAGACCCTCACCAGGTGTGTTCCCTTGAATTTGGATCTTTTAGCCTCTGAAACTGTAAGCAATAAGTTTTGTTTTCTTATAAATCACCCAGTTCCAGGTAATTTTGTTTTAAGTAACAGAAGTGGACTAATACAGTAGGGCTGTATAATTCTATTTCTACATCATTGGATTCAATTTGCTAATATTTTGTTGAGGATTATTGCATCTGTGTTCATGAGAGTTTTTAGTTTGTAGTCCTATTTTCTTGTAATGTCTTTGTCTAGTTTTTGTATTAGGGTAATGTTGGCCTCATATGGCATGAGTTAGAAAATATCCATTCTGCTTCTATCATCAGAAAGAGATTGTAAAGAATTGGTACAAGTTCTTCCTCAAATTTTTGGTAGAATGCACAAGTGAACCCACCTGGATCTGTTGTTTTCTGTTTTGGAATGCTATTAATTATTAATTATTTAAATAGACCATCTGAATGGGTCTAGTTATAGATCTATTCAGATGGTCTATTTCTTCTTGTGTGAGAATTTGTGGGCACAGAATTGTATGTAGCATTCTGTTATTATCCTTTCAGTGCTCACAAGATTTGTAGTGATGTTCCCTTTCTTATTTGCAGTGTTAGTAACTTGTGTCTTCTCTCCTTTTTGTTTTCCCGTGGGCTTGGCTAGAGGCTTACTGATTTTATTAATCTTTTCAAACAACCAGCAATAGATTTTCTCCATTGATTTCTTGCTTTCAATTTCATTGATAATTGTTCTGATTATTATTTCTCTCCTGCTGCTTACTTTGGACTTAATTTCCTCTCTCTCTCTCTTTCTCTCTCTCTCTCAATCTCTCTGCCTGTCTCTTTTCAGTTTCCTAAGATGGAAACTTAGATGATTGATTTTAGATGTTTCTACTTTCCTAATATAAGTAATCAATGCTAAATTTCCCTCTAAGTACTGCTTTCACTGTAATCTAGAAATTTTAAGTTGTGTTTCCATTTTCATTGAGTTCAAAATATTTGTTAATTTCTCTGGGATTTCTTCTTTAACCAATGTGTACTTTAAAACTGTGTTGTTTAATTTCCAAGTATTTGTGATTTTCTAGTTTTCTGTTATTGATTTGTAGTTTAGTCACATTGTGG